TTGTGCCCCCCTCCACCCCAATCGACCTCCAACGAGCAGCCGCATAATTTGCCTACTTAATTGTGTTTGGCCACTATTTGAAGGCCGTCTTTAATATTAATTAGAACCTCTGAATTTACACACACACACACACACACACACACATATTATCAGTTATTTAATGATGAATGATTAAATATTTAAATATTGATTATTTCATTATTAAATATTTCATTAAATATTTATTACGGTAATTATTAAGCATTATTATTTCATTAAATGTTAAATTTTCTGCTGTCCTAATCCAGACATCTTCACGCATACAGTAAGGCCCCGTGACACTTAGCGATTTATCGCGTGGTAATTCCCGCGAGCAGGTCGTGTGACGCTACAGCAGGACCCTTTTTGGAGCGGATTTATCCGCGATTCAAGCTTGCTCAATGCAAGCATTTGCGCGATATCGCGCAAAATGCAAATCGCGCAATTTGCATATCGCGGAGTGTGAACGGGGCTTTAGGGAGCTGGCATGGTTTGTTTTTCAAGTGCACATTTCTAGAGGCATCCACTTTCTTAGCAAAAACACTAATTTTGTCTGTATGCAGAGCAGCCCTCAGGGAGTGGAAGCATGTTATCTCCTACATTTTCAGCATGAAGATCTCTGGACTGGTGGGCTAGGTCAGTGTGATATATGTAAATATACTCGCCTCCCTGAACCTGGAATTCCTCTTTAAGCCTTTCAGTCTTTGGAATGCAAGCACAGGCACGCTTCTCATATCACAAACAATGTAGAGGGGAGCAGTGCAAGACTCCTCTCTGATGGAGCTCTGAGCATAGGGAAAAGTTCCAATTTCACTTCCCTTCCCCTGCGCAACACTGTGTGACACAGACTTCACTCAGTTGAACTGTGTTTACTGCCTACCCCCCCTCGTTCCCCCCCCTCCCCCCGTTTTTTACACCACTGCACACCGTACCTACCTGGACCTGCTGCAGCTCTTTTTCAGTCTTTCAGATTGTCCTCCCGATCGCTGTTGCTTCCAGGCTGCCAACTCCTGCAGGATGTCTCTGCACTGCCCACGCTGCCTTGAGCTAGTACACAAATGGGATCCCTCCAGCTCTCTCACCGCTGTGCCTGCTGGGAAATGGAGTTCCCTGAACGGCCCCACCCCCTGCTACAGTGTGTTACTTCAAAAAGAAAGAATAGAGCAGTGTACTTGATGTCTGAGACGGGACCCGGAATGATAGTTGACAAAGTCAGCTTAGGGGAGTTTTCGAGTGATGCAGAAAAAGTACACCGATTGAGTCTTAAGGTCTCCACTAGGATGTGTCGCAAAACACAGAGCTGCCTGCATCTGCCTCTTTCTGTCAACGTCCAATTGGATGCTGGACAAATTGACATCAAGCTTCTCTTCATCTTGAGTGCTGGAACACAGGAAGCATCCCAGTACCTGGCACACCACGGTCACTCTGCATATGGCACTGGAACACCTGTAAGTGATAGTACCCTATACCACAGCCCGAACCAGGAGCTAAGCACTGTTTCCAGAATAGAAGTAAACTGCATTTTTTGTTTATTCTGAGTGTGAACATATTTGGTGTGCAGTCACCTAGAGATGTGTGAAGGTATTATATTTTTTACTTTAATTAAATAGCCCATAGGCTCCCATGTTTATGTGGGATAAAGACATGCTTCATTCATTATAAGGATATAGCATGTGATTGTGTAGAGAATGTGTATACTGAAACGTCTACACCAAAAACAACCAAGCCAATATTCAGAAGCTGAAAACAAACGCACTGGGATGCTAATCATGAAATGTATCTCACGTCCTGAGTCCACAAGTGCCAGCTGTTGATTCGACTCGACTCAAATATCACTTTTCATAAGAAGAGCTTAGACATTGCAACCCACACATTTCTTTTAGGAAAAGTTTAACAGGTAGTAGATAAGAGTCAGAAAACGACATAGGCATGGTAATTTGCACAGTGACAAATTTAGTAGTAAGAGTCATGTGACATTACATTTTATTTTTAAAAAATGTCCTTGTATCTTCTTACTACAGTTGCAGAGTAATAGTATAGGTATATGTATGTATAGTTTATTCACATTACATACTAAGCAATGTAGTTGTCCTATCAATTTGCATGTGACAGCAGATACACCTTGCAATTGGCCCCTGTGATATTGATACATTTAATAATAGGATATAGATGGCCATTTTAACAGCTGCAATGCAGTCCAGTCTTTCCATACGCTCTGTAGTGACATACGAGCCTGTAAGGAACCACAGAGTTTTGCGGGAGGGGCAGTTATTCACCACACCTAGAAGTGTTGGATACCTGCAGCAACCATGGATCAGGAATTGGCAGAGTTTCCACATGCAGAAAGCCAAAGAGTTAAGTATATAGCATCTTTAACAAGTTGTGGTTACTTTTGACCCTGTAATTACAGGGTCACTTCAACCTTCCCTCTCTATTTTTTTTTTACTTTTATGCCTACTGTTTTTTTAATGAAGAATGTATCCACATTTAATGACAGCATTACTCAGCTTAGTAACTTACAGTATGGTAAGCCAGAAGGTGTGGGTCTGATACTGGGAATGACCTCCCATCTGAGAGCTTTAAGAAGTCAACTAGGAACAAAACCTTGTAGGACTTATGCTTTTTGGGTGGTGTTATCCTTTAAGACGCAGGTGTATGCTATGTCCATAAAAAGAATAAAGCATGTTCCACACTTGTGCTACCATCATGATGTCAGCTTTGTTCTTATTGTCTCTTCTACGCAGATACATTTTTTGTGTGTAGGAATGTGTAATATAGATAGATGTTAACTAAGCCCCTTAACATAAATTTGAATTAATTATAATTTGGGAGTAGGGATAATCTCAAGAATAAATAATTTTTCAATTATGTTAAACTCCATTTAGCATAATAAATATATTTTGCATACAAAAGTCTGCTTCTAAGCCAAATTCTGAATGTAGAAAGGAGAACTGTCCATGAGCGATATGCAGAGCTGACAAGGTGTACATCTGATTGGTATTGAGCTTCATTTCATATAGAGTGGCTTCAAACACAGTAAACATTTTTAGACTGAAGGTACCAATAGATATAGGCTAATAATTGGCTTGATTGGGCGATGACCCGAATGTCTGTTGGTTCCAACAGATTACGGAGGATACTGCGGCTGACAAGTCTATGGTTGTAAAATAACTGGCCAGGTTGAATATTTTCTTTAGATTGCTGTTAATTTCATCCAAGTAAACTAGTGTCTACAACTTTATCACTTTTTTTAATCTTTAATTTAGTAAATCCCCTAATCAAGGCTTTAATTGACCTTAAGAATGCCAATACATACATCCTAAATACGAATCCTAAATACAAAAGAAAGGTGATTGCCTTCATTTTAACTGCAAAAATCATAATTGCACAAAAATATAAAGCCCCATTAATCAATTTTCTACTAATCAAATTGAAATTGACATGGATAATGACTAACGAGAAACTCAACTTTCTACTTAATGCAGAACAATTTAAAAAATATGGTCCCCTGGATTACATATCTATCAATAGAAGCCTTAAATGCTCGATGAGGCAGGTCCCAAGGGTAAACTAACCCTCTCCCTAAGTACACTTTTTCATGTCCCGCCTCTCTCTTTGCCCTGCTTTTTCTAATACTCCTCTCATTCACCAATCTCCTGATTCCCTATATTTCCCTAGATATACATCTATAAAGGAAAAGCATACTCCAGGTATATATTTCATTGAACCTCTCACACAAAAGCATTCACTTTTTAATGTTTGCGATATACCTTTAAAAAAATTACACCTTTTAAGCCTTTTCAAAACGTTATGACCACTATAAAGCCCATATTTAAAACCTGTCAATATCAAGGGTATTACTTTCATGGGGAATTAAACCTTTAAATCACAATGCCCCAATTTTTATTCCCATGAGGAATATATCATAGACTTTACCAATGCTTTAGAGCTTGTACTCAGTGTGCATTATAACGATGCTTTGAAATGCTGTAATATATGTAATACTTCTTTTTATTGTAACAATAAACGTTATTAAAAAGAAATGAAGGATCTTTTGGTGGTGGAACTGTACCCTCTAATGAGGCACTTGGGTTTTGCTATAGCTTATGCTTGTTTAATGTTGACTCTCTATTAAACAACAAATGGTTTAAGCTTGCTCCTTTTTTTTTCTGTAGATCCTTACCAACCCCAATCATCACTTTACTGACAGCTCATTATATAAAGATGTCACCTTAGTTGCATGGGATCCTTCTCCTTATTATGCTGATCTTCATATGGTAAGACAATTTTTTCAGCAAACACTTCCCTAATATATGCATCTTTGTAATATTTTCAGCAGTGTTTTGAATTGTTTTGCTCTGATGGGCTGCCAAAGTGCTTATAGAATTCTACATTGAAAGGTGTTCATATGGTTCTTGGTGTCCAGTAATTGTAGCAGCCTATGTAGAAAATTATACATTGCATTTGAGGTCTGATGTGGTAACCCAGTGTTGTTAAAGAGGTACTGTAACCTGGATGAAAACCATCACAACACTTGCATAGTGGCAGACAGTGCACTTGTTGCTTTTATATTCTGAACTCTAGCAGTATCAGCAGTGAAGTTTACAAATCACCTCCCTACAGCTATGGACATGTTTCTAGTCAAGGTATTTATTATATATGGGGAGGTTCTGGGTTGGACTGCACTGTGTGAATAGTAACTTGGTGAGAAAATCCTTATTTCCCTCCACAGATCCAAAACTTTTTGTTTCAAACAGTGCAGAAAATAAAAAGACACATGTATATAGGTTATGACTCAACTACTATGCAATGTTGTGTTTTCTGGCATTCTCCTACAATGTCACCTCTATCTTGCTACCACCTGTTTGCAAGTAGAAGGTAAAGGGCCTCAGCTTTCATACTGGAGCACTGGTCTGCCCAGTATTTGTTTTTAATGGCTTACCTATTTCCTTTCACATTTTTTCCATAGTGGTACCACAAACCAGATTATAATCTTTTCCCACCCTATGAGCAACATCGGAAAAAAAATCCAGACCAGCCATTTTACATTCTTCACCCGAAGTTCACATGGGAATTGTGGAAAATCATCCAAGAGAACAGTGAGGAGAAGATACAACCGAACCCTCCATCATCTGGTTTCATTGGTAGGTGTGTTTAGCATACTGATCATTGACGACACAATGCAGCTTTTAGCTGTATAACCTCAAGTAGAATGCTTAATAGCTGCTATTGATCTGAAAATAATTATTCCACACAAAATTAAAGCTTGCTACCACAAGTGAGTGGTGGAATATTTTGTAAGTGGGAGAAGTCAGTTAAGTGTTGGTATCAATTAACATTCCACAAGGTTACAATGCCCTAGGGTGTATTTGGAATGCACTGAGTTCCATAGGACAAAGGAATATAAATTAGTATTAGCACATTAGCCTAACTAGTCATGAATCATAACTACGATAATAAAGCGGAGAACAAATGGAAAGATTCTCTATGCTTTTTACAGTTTCTGTGAACTAAACACACCATTGTTATCAGTGTTTTAAAGGTGTTCTCATAATACAGTATAATTATAATACATTCGGTTCAGCTACAAAACATTCTTTGCTGGTCAATTCATTTTACCAAGACGAATTCAAGAAATTGCTTTATTTGATCTACAGAAAAATATGTTTCTATCGATCATTTTGAATTCTTAATTATGTGCTTCTCCAAACCACCTTCTGCAAGCTTGTTCTGTTGTAAACCATATAATTTAGACTTCATTTTACATGAAAGGTGACCCCAGCTTTCGACTATGAATGAGCAGTCAATTTTGCCAAACTATATTTCACAATGAAATGATGGACTTTTTCACCATGCTGCAACTCTAATTGTTACATGCGGCACTGCTAGATGAACTTAGCTAAAAAAAAATCCACTTTAAATAGGAACACTTAAAAAATATAAAAATTAAAGAATCTTTAAAAAAATTAAAACAGAATATATAATTGTTGCACAAGCCATTTTGTATTTTAACTCCTTCATGACTGAGTTTTTCTTAGTTTTTGTTTGTTAATGACTGATGCACTTTTTACATTTTTGCTGTTTGATTCTTCCACGGCAGTAATTTACCTTCTTACTAAGTGCACCCACACATATTATACATTGTTTTTCAGAGGACAGATAGGTCTATATATTTATATCACATATGTGTGCCTAAAGCCTCATTTAGGATGAATAAAATATTTAAAAAAAGAGGAAGAACTTAAAGAAAACACTTTTTCCCCAGGTTTGATTATTATTATTTTTTAGAAAAATAGCACAGCTAAAAAAATGCATTAAAAAAATTAATTTATTTGTCCTTTATTTGGAAACACCTCACATCCCTAGGATTTCAGAACATTTTCTGTACTTCTCAGCCTAAAACTAAAAGCTAACATTTTATTTTATTTCTATAAAAGCTAATAGTCGTCACCTGGCATACAATGTCACTGTCACTAAGTGTCACACTTGGTGACAGCGATATACTTTGAACATCACCATCATGAGGGGGTTAAAATTAACCCCTTAGGATGAAAAACAAATTTGCAGCTCAGCTGCAGATTTTCATTGTAAGGGGTTAATTTTTATAAAAATGATAGTATAACAATATATTTATATACAGTATATGCCGACCAAATTTTAACAGATAGGCGGAGCCAGCGGTGATGTCACCTCTAACTCCGCCTATCTGTTTACATTCAGCCGCCATCGGTCAAATTGTTCATTTTGCGTAGCAGGCTGGCGGGCGTCAGGTTCTTCTTTTTTATCTCAACGAGGCTGCGGCAGCATGGACATCACAGGACAACGTGATTGACCCTGGATTACTTTGTTGGATGATTTTTTGGAATTTTTCGGGGCTTTTTTAATTAAAGGAATAGTCAAGATCTTTTTTTTCTTCAAATAAAGGATTTTTTCTAAAAGTGTGGTGTGTTTATTTACATTTTTGTTTAACCCTTTAATGAATAAGTAGGGGTACAAGTACACCTTACTCATTTACAAGAGGGGCCAGCATCTGGGTGTCCCCTTTATTAAAGAGGGTACCCCAATGCAAATAAGCCCCCCTGCCTGCAGACCCCCCACAACCACCAGGCCAGGATTATGGTGGAAGAGGCCCTTGTCCTCATCGGCATGGAGACAGGGTGCTTTTCCAGGGTGGGACCCGTGCAAAGGGCATGTGGCCTGATATGGCGCAGGGATGGGGGGGGGCGCTCGCTCGCGCTTTTTCCCCATTTTTGGGGGACGAGGTTGCCCCTTAAAATTCCTACAAGACCTAAAGACCTTTTAGGGAGAACCTCTACACACTTCTTTTCTCCTTTTTAACTTGGGGTATCTACTAACATTCCTACCAGACCTAAATGGTCTGGTATGAATAAGGAGGGGGGCCCCACAATGTTTTTTTTCATTATTTGTTTACATTTGCGGGAGAACGGTATGCTTTGGCAGAAGAAGAAAAAAACAGAGCAGGGAAAGGTTTACTCTGCTCGATCGAGCAGAGTAAAACTTTCTGGGAGAAAGTGTTTCTCTCCCGGGCGGCCGGGAGCCGCTATCTAATAGCGGGAGACTCGCGGAGCGTCCGGGAGAGTTGGGCTGTCTGGAGATCAGTGTCCCTGCAAGTGGCCCGGAGCCAGCCGTGAAATGACGGCTGGCTCCGCCCCTGAAGTAAGCATCAGGCTGTCGGCCGGCCACTGGCTAGCCGTTCGGCCAGCTTCGGCTTTCACCTCAGCTCAGTTGAGCCGAAGCATATGCCTTCGGCTCGACTGAGCCGCTCAGCCAACTTCGGGAGCTTTTTCGGGCTATAGTGAATAGCCGTACAGCAGCCCTTTGGTTCTACTGAACTGAAGGTGTCCTGGGGCCGAAGCTAGCCGAAAGATCAGCCGTAGCTACGGCTAGATCCTTCGGCACCTTAGTGAATAGATTCCATTGTTTCCTGTGCATGAGACATGACAGGGGTCAATTAACAGCTTGATTTATTTGTGTTTTAAAGCAGAGCTTTTCAAGCAGCATTACCTGTACATCAAGGAGTATTTGACAGGTTCAGGGCTATTTCAGCCCTTTACATTAACAATAAAGTGTAAAATTGTAGCAAAACCATATGTAAAACGGTTCTAGTAATTATATATGTTTTTATAAAAAAAATCTGCACACAACCAGGCAATAATTGTACTTATCCATGGCCCCTTGTGATAAAAAGACAGGGGATACATGGAAAGCTCTGGCATTAAAAGAGTTCAATACATTTGAGAAACACTTTTAAGGGATATCACTACAAGACATCAATAACAACAGATATAATAAAAATAAACGCTAACATAAATACTGTATAACTATATATCTCATCTGGAATATAATGGCATGCGACTATACAGATAGCACAGTTCTGAATGTTATTGTTGTTTACGCATGAAGAACAGTCTAAGACAGATCTCTTAGCTATCCCTTTTAGCTGAGATAGCCGCTGATATGAAAACTAGTGAATCCCTTACAATGGAGACTTAAAACCACTGTTTTGGAATCCTTAGTATTGGGTGGGAGCTATACTGTAGCTTTGTGAGGCTGAGGAGTATCTGCACAATTTTTGTTTTGTTTTGTTTTTTTATTTCTTCCAAGTTTTTTTGACCAGGGTGGCGAGCCCATCAACATAATGTTTTTGTTTTTTTTTTCACAGAGGGGTGTGTTTTTGCTGACGTTACTTGGGATATGTGTTTTGTTACCAATTCAGATGTAAGAGTAAGTAGTAGAGTTCTGTCTGGAAAGGACAAGTTACTTGGTTTTAGGTGGAGGATATTGCCCAAACTACACAGGCAGGTTGCAGCCATGCAAACAATAATTGCATGTAATCGACCATGAATCCTCTTTGATTACTAACTAGTGCTTCTTTTTAATTTTTAAGTAAATATTGGCTACAAAATCAAGTTTGGTTTTGTTTCACTGCTCACAGATCTGGCACTGACCAATTAACAGATGTGATAGCAGCCAATCATAATAATTCAGCAGTCACTAGTGTGAACAGGTGCAGTTATAGCCAGTAGTGGAAACTACAGCAGTAGTGTGTGATATTTGTTTTTGCTTATTTTTGATGGCTCAAATGGAATCAAACATGTTTTATATTCCCATCCTAACATTCCATCCTCCACCTTAGTTTAATTTCTGAGTAAGGGTATTGTTACTTTTACCACAAGATGCACAGTGCCCATAGACCGATGTTGTAGCTGCTGGGCCTTTAAAGCAGCCAAAATTACCACACACTGCTCCAGGGAACAGGAATTTTACCCCACAATCTGCTACAAGTGTTGATCTTTTGTGTCCCCATCAGTACTACCTGCTTCCTGCTGCTGCCTTTAAGTCAATAATATGTAGTGGCATAGCTTCCGGCAGGATGAACCACAACACCCAGGGCTCATAAAGACAACAAAGATTTTACACGCCATCCTGCAGAGAAGTAAGTATTCGGCTTCTATTGAAGCTAGCTGGATGTTTTGCAAGACGTGACAGGGTCACATCTTGCAAAACTAATGATGTCATTGATATTCTCTACATCAGTTGATCTGTACCTGCAGGTGGAGGCAGTACCTGCAAACAAGTACAATAAATATGGTACTTCATTAACCAATTGCTGCCTGCCTTCTAGATGCGGGTGGCTGTTTTAAAACGTTCTTCCGGCCCCCCCTCGTGCGAGCCGCCCAGCGTACGGACAAAAACGGGAAAAAAGCATTCTGGTGGCTGTAGACGATCTCCCTATAATCTCCTCCCCATTCTCTGAATGTGGGAAGTGATGTATAGTACATCACTTCCACATTTAGCTATCACTTTCTGGCTACAGAAGCTGGTGAAGCAGATCTCTGCTTCATCAGCTTCTTTGGGGTCCCTAGGGGTGACATTAGGGGTCTTGAAGACCCCTAATGTCTCCATAAAGAGGATCTGTCACTGTAAATTGGTCATCACATAGGGGGCTTGTTATTGCTCTGTGTTAGCAATAAAGTTAAGTGTAAAAAAAAAAGTTTAAAAAAATTAAAGTCACATATAAAGAATTTTTTTTAAAATACCAAAACATTTTAAAGTCCCCCGCCCCCACCTTTTATATTTTACCAAACATTGGGTAATAAATGTTTCATAATATAGCATAGGG